ATGAAAATCAAAATATCTTACAAATTATAGCAATCTTATTTATCGCATAGCTTGCGGCAATCTCAAAATTAATGACACCAACCCCACATGTGATGAAAATAAAAATATTCGACAAAAATTATAGCAATCCAAAGAGTTAACAGAAGTATCTTCAATTGAGATTTTAATATATTTTAAAAGTCTTTCTAAATCAAGGTATTCCTAATTGAGGAAAAAATTATTAATAAATCTTATCAATAGCACAACTCGTGGCAATCTCGAAAATGAAGACACTAACTCCACGAATCATGAAAATCAAAATATCCCACAAATTATAGCAATCTTATTTATCGCATAGCTCGCGGCAATCTCGAAATTAAAGACACCAACCCCACATGTGATGAAAATTAAAAAAAAAAATCGACAAAAATTATAACAATCTGAAAGTTAACAAGAGTATCCTCAATTGAGGTTCTAATAGATTTTAAAAGTCCTTCTAAATGAAGGTATTCCTAATTGAGATTTTGAAGAATTTGATTAAAAGTTAGGTGTTCCCAACTGAAATTTTAATGAGTTTCAATGAAATTACTTAAAATATGAGTATCCTCAATAAGTCGTGAATTTATGAAGAGATTTCAATATCTATAACAAAATCTTTTGAAATTTTTCAATTTTAAATATGATTCTTATGGATTCTATGAAAATCTATTTAAATTCATGAAATTCATAAGAAAATTTGAGAATATCCTGTGAATAAAATTCAAACAAATCTTGGCAGTCAGATCAAGTCAATCTTAGCATATAATCATTGAAATGAACACATTATGTGCTAGAAAAAGTGCCCATTTTTGTTTAAATACTCGTGGTGGCTCACTTTGTTCAATGGAGACATAGACAATACGAATAAGGGCATTCTCAGTTCTCTCTCTCTCTCTCGATTTGGAATTCATTGAAAAAATTTCCTGAAGGGAAAATATGGATTATACTCACTGGCTTCTGATATTTTCAACATGGTTAATCATCTTCTCCTTTGCTCCAGCATCCTCGAGTGAGGATCGTACTGGAGAACTAATCGTTGAGATTTGTCGTCAAACACCCGATTATGGATTCTGTATCGATGTTTTTGACCAACATCCTCATGCTCAAACAAGTCCTCTTGGTCTAACTCAAATAGCCCTAGATGAATTAAAAGAAAACTCGACCAATACGCGGACTTTCATACAGAAGAAAGAAGCTGCTGAAAAAAACAAGGAAATAAGGTATCTTTACGCAATCTGCAATTCTGATTATGGGGCTGTGAAGAAGAATTTGGAAAATGCCTGGAAAGAATTTCTTAGTTCACGTTACAAGGTCATGTTAACTTTTTTATCTAAAAGTGAAAGGCCTGTAAATCACTGTCAAAACATTTTTTGTGGCAACATTGGGATTGGATTGAAGAAAAGAACTAGACAGGTGAAATTACTTATAAGCATCGCAATCTCTGCTGGGAATCTTACTGACCTTATATAATTGTAATTTTGTTATCATTTTGAAATGATAATTATGATGTAAAAGCAATTAATATATAGAAATAAAAAACATATCGATCTTTGAGTACA